TTTTTTAAGTCTTCCATTGGGGCACAGAAAAGGAGGGAGGAAGGGGTAAACAAATACAAACAAGCTATTCAGTATATGTGGCAAATAATCTATGTAACTGTGGGCATGGGTGGGAGGGGGAAACTGGAAGAAAGCAAAGGAAGAGCATAATATTGTTAAATAAAATAAAAATGTACTCATTATCTGAGTTATGAAATGGTAACCCCTCTGTATAGCACCTTGATAATATTATTTAAAATTTGTTAAATGTTTCTACTTCAATTTTTAAAAAAAAACACAGTATGTCCAACATCATCTATCATTAGGAGAAATTCAAACTAGATACAACTTAGAAACAGTTACAAAATAAAGGAGGCTAAGGAGATACGATCCACAATGATAAGGATCCAAATATAATCAAGACAAGCCAGTCTTTATTTTATTCTGTATTTATAGATGAAGAGGTCTCACTGTGTTGCCCAGGATGGACTCAAAACACTTCTAAGGACATGCCACAAACCCCAGCAAGACAAGAGTCAAATATGCTTGCCAGGAGCTGGGAAGGTGGCTCAGTGGTAGAGTGCTTGCCTTGCATGCATGAAACCCTGGGTTTGATTTCTCAGCACCACATAAGCAGAAAAAGCTAGAAGTGGTGCTGAGGCTCAGGTGGTACAGCACTAGCCTTGAGCTAAAGAGCTGAGGGACAGCGCCCAAGCCCAGAGTTCAGTCCCTACGACCAAAAAAAAAAAAAAAGCTTGCCTACTGCTGACATACATTTTACAATCTTATAGATGAAGCAAAATACATAACTTTAACCAGATGTTGAAATGGTTAGGATTAGAATCAAAGGACAAATACTTTAGGAAAAACAATCAGAATAGTAAAGATCTCAAGTTTTTGTTTTTTTGGTGTAGGTCCTGGGGCTTGAACTCAGACCTGGACACCGTCTGAGCTCAAAGAACTACAATGTCAGTTCCAGCTTTTTCAGAGTAGTTTATTGGAGATAAGAGTTTTATGGACTTTCCTGGTCAGGCTGGCTATGAACCATGATCCTCTGATCTCAGCCTCCTGAGTAGCTAGGATTATGCCACTTTAGAAACTAGAAGAGGGGCTGGGAAGGTGGCTCAGTGGTAGAGCCTTGCATGCCTGAGGCCCTGGGTTCGATTCCTCAGCACCACATAAGCAAAAAGAAAAAAGCTGGAAGAGATGGTGAGGCTCAAGTGGTAGTGCTAGCCTTGAGCTGAAGAGCTGAGGGACAGTGCCCAGGCCCAGAGTTCAGGCCCCACGACCGGACCCAAAAAAAAAAAAAAATAGAAACTAGAAGAAAAAATCTCTGACATATTAGTCACGTTTCTACACAGCTGAAACTACAACACACACACACACACACACACACACACACACACACACACACGTATAGAAAACTTACACAAAGACTAACCCATCTCCTAGAAAGCCAGTCAAATGGACTTGAAGACCTCACTAAATATAAGAGTGAATGGGAAGCAAAGAAAAATTTTCCCCTGGGGCATAAATAGAAACCAATCTGTGTAATCAAAAAGCTATTTTTCTTCATAATTTAAGCGCCTGCTTCCAGTCTGGGCTCAGAAAAAGATCCTAGTCACTTAAACTGGTCGTCAGTCAGAGACCCCTTCATTTTCGCTTTCTTGGCTTCCAGTTCAGCCAGCTCTGGCAGCCGCTTCTTACTCATACCTTGGCACTCCCACTGTTTTTCAATTACTTGGCATTTTGTGACTAGGAGTCAGCAACTTCCCTAGCCTCAATCACTTCTTCCTCTTCATCAATGGAAGACATGATAACAGAGTTGAACTTTTGTCTTTAGTCCTCTTGGTTATCATCACTTTCTTAGGAGGCTCTTGTTTCTGAGTGTATATGTTCTTTTTCCCAAAACCCTGACCAAACTTTACTATACTGCCCCATCCACAATGAGGGTCACAGAAGCCCTCTTCAGTTGGGACTGGTAGAAGAGTGGTAGTTCACACTTTGAACACTTTTTACTGTACTGTCATTCAATGCCTTCAGGTCTCAGAAGGTATGTAGTCTCCTCATCCTCTGTGTTATAAAACGTGTGGGCATGTTTGGCAGCATCAATCACATAAGATCAGTCCTGTGGCCTCATAAGAAATTTCTCTAACTGATAATTGAGCACCAGGACCATCTGGCCACACAAACAGCAGTAGACATGGAAGGGCTTCTCGCCATCATCATTTTCCTCTCAGTCCCAGTGTCAGAGCAGGTGATGGACCAGGACACTACTTTTGGCATGGTTCAGAGGAGCTAACAGAAAACTCTACCATAACAATAAAATTATCCAAAAAAAAAAAATATCTCAGGCTGGGAAGGTGGCTCAGTGGTAGAGTGCTTGCTTTGCATGCATGAGGCCCTAGGCTCGATTCCTCAGCACCACATAAGCAGAAAAATCCAGAAGTGCTAGAGCGCTAGCCTTGAGATGAAGAGCTGAGGGACAGTGCCAAGGCCGAGTTCAGGCCCCACAAGTGACCACCCGCCCCCCCCCCAAGAAAAACTCCCTCATTAAGGAGCATTATTATGGAATTCCAGAACAGGTAAGATAAGGAGTTTTCACTTTCATTGTGGGCAAAGGACATCAGGTAATCGAAAAGCCCTCTTAAACAAAATATCTAGGCCAGGTGCCAGTGGCTTAGGCCAGTAATCCTAGCTACTCAGGAAGCTGAAATCTGAGGATCTCAGATGGAAACCAGCTCAAGGAAAAAAGTCTGTGTGTTTCTTACTACAAATTAACCTGCAAAAAACTAGAAGTGGAGTTATGGGTCAAAGAGTGCCAGCCTTGAGCAAAAAGCCAAACGGCAGCAGAAGATCTAGAGTTTCAAGCCCCAAGACAGGTACACACACACACACAAAATACTGGCTAAACACAAATCCTACCTAACTGCTGGGCCTACAAGATAAACAAATAAGTAGATTCCACAAATGCCAAAAATGAAAAACAAAACCACAGTGGTGAGTGTGCAAACACTGACTGGCTTTGCGGGTTTTTTTTTTTTTTTAAAGCAGTGTTTGCAAAGAGAGGAGATGAGCACAGGCAATATAGTCTTTGTGCTGGCCTGAAGCCAGAAGTGAGAGCCTAGGAGAAGAGTAAAGCAGACAACAATCCATGCCACAAAAGAGAGAAGGAATAGACTGTTTTTCATCCTAGGCTCTACATCAAAGTCTTCCTTGAGAATTCAAAACCTCAGGCCTCTGCAAAATTTTCGAATTTAAATTCATACAAACTAGGCATATGCCTGTGACTCAGCTATTTGAGAGGCGGAGGCAGGAGGTTCACTTGAATCTGGGATTACAGGGCCATCCTGAACACCATAGTAAGGCCTTGTCTCAAAAAAAAAAAAATAGGGGGGCTGGGAAGGTAGCTCACGCATGCTTTGCATGCATGAGGCCCTGGGTTCGATTCCTCAGCACCACATAAGCAAAAAGAAAAAAGCTGGAAGTGGTGCTGTGGCTCAAGTGGTAGGGTGCTAGCCTTGAGCTGAAGAGCTGAGGGACAGTGCCCAGGTCAGGCCCCATGACTGGACCAAAAAAAAAAAAAAAATAGGGTGATAGAAATAAAAATTACAGGGCTGGGAAGGTGGCTCAGTGGTAGAGCGCTTGCCTTGCATGCTTGAGGCCCTGGGTTTGATTCCTCAGCACCACATAAGCAAAAAGAAAAAAGCGGGAAGTGGCGCTGTGGCTCAAGTGGTAGAGCGCTAGCCTTGAGCTGAAGAGCTGAGGGACAGCGCCCAGGCCCAGAGTTCAGGCCCCATGACAGGACCCCCCCAAAAAAAAAGAAATAAAAATTACATTGGTAAGTTAAAAAGTAGTGTCGATGCAACTGGATAGACAAAGCAAATACCCAAAATGCTACAGAGAGGGGGAAAAAAAGGAAAAAAGCTATTTAATAAGCTGTGGTTGGATGTTTGCTTCAGCCAAGGATTAAAAATAAAGAAATGGTTGTATCTAATGAGTGGAAAACAGAGCTTGAGAGAGGAGGGATCAGACCTGTTTCTGTGATAGACTTTGGCCCTTTACACTATATATGCAGAAAAGTAGATAAAAACCTTTAATTTATTTTATTTTATTTTTTTGTCAGTTATGGGGCCTGAACTCTGGGCCTGGATGCTGTCCCTCAGCTCTTCAGCTCAAGGCTAGTGCTCTAGCACTTGAGTCACAGCACTACTTCCGGCTTTTTCTGCTTATGTGGTGCTAACGAATCAAACCCAGGACCTCATGCATGCAAGGCAAGCACTCTACTACTGAGCCACCTTCCCAGACCCAAAAACCCTCTAAATTTTACATGTAACGATGTTGGTGATTTTTCCCTCTAGTGCTGGGGAATGAACTCAAAGCTTCCTTGATGATGGCTACCCAAATGCTATACCTGATCTACATTTCCAGCATCTGCTGTTTGCATGAAAAAACAAAAACAAAACCTGTATTCTTTTTGCTGTGTTGAATTTTAATATGAAGACGAAATAAAGATAATTCATGCCCTCAAGCTTTAGCTCACCGAAAAGCTCCCCGACAATATTCTGCAGAAAGCTCTCCAGCACAAGAGAGAAATGTATAAGTAAGTAACCACATATGAAAAGAACAAACAAATATAACATGGATGATGGTAAAAGACACAGGGGTACAGAGGGAAGTGATACATAGCGCTCGCCTGGAGATGAAGAGCTGAGGGACAACACCCAGGCCGATCGGGTTCAAGCCCCAGGACCGACAAAAAACAAACAAACAAAAACCCCACGAATATACATGCAATGAATAAGTAATTCCATACTGACTTTGCATCTGTCCGTTAATCTCCTTCATAATAATTGGTCTTTTACCACAAATTCCTAAATAATCTCCCTAAATTCCTAAATATATCTCCCCCAATAGCCCCCCCAAAAAAATAAACCCCCCACAAAAACCCACTAAATAACTAGCAAACTGCAACAGGGCTCAAATGTTCACATCCCTAGCTTTGACCTGTGGTTACCCACCTTGATCTGGAGCTCTGAGCTTACTCTCGGCCATGGAACTCTCCCGTGTGCGGTACACGCAGCCTGGAAAAGGACAGAACAGCAGCTCAACCGCCAACCCCTCGGTCCACGCACCTCCCCTCCTATGCCCCCCACCTCCAGGTAATTTCCCAATGCGGTTCCGGAACCTCGTCCTTTCCTCAGCCATCATCTCTAATCCCGCGCCCTCGACTCCAGCAACTCCTCCTCGGTTCCGCCATCGTCCTCGGCTTCTTCAACTCGGATCCTCCGACCACAATGCAACCCGGGCCTAGGGACCCCGTAACGCTTTATCCCCTTCCCGGCATCCGTACCCTATCTTGGCTCACTCTTCAAATCCCAGGTCTTTCCCGGCTGCCGTACTCCTTCCTCCAGTACTTCGTACTGTGTTCCCGGGCTTCAAGTGTTCTTTGACATTCTAGAATCTCGCCGGTCCACGCTCAGCCACGGCAGCAGGCCAGCGAGCGTCCCCCACCGCGGGTTCGGTTTAAATTTCCTGGCAGCTCCGCCCCTGAAAGAATGTAGCAAACGCGAGATTTGCCCTACGGTGTCCCTAGAAGGACAAACTAGTTCCAAGTGTTCTTTCCACTGCCGCGCTCCCTCTGGCCTTCTGTCCCGCCTTCTCCACATCTCTCCGCTTCTCATTGGCTGAAGGGCTGGGTGTCTTCACGACCGACCACTGAGAACTCGAGTCTTCCTTTTTGTGACTTTAAAGCGAGCTTTGCTATTCGAACAATAAATAAATAAATTACAAGGTAATAAGGTTTCGCTTGCACGGTATTTCATCTTCACATGGGTTCTCCTCCCTTTCTCTCCTCTTAGCCAAAGTTCTCCAAAGACGTGTCATCCATCATTTTCCAACTTTTCTAATTACACATTCATCTTCATCTTTCTACTTAAGCTGTACTTGTCCAGGTGAACAGTGACTTCCACGTTCCCAAATACTGTGGTCACACCGCGATCTATCTTCAGCCTGTCCAACTTCTAGACGTGGAACAGACTACTCCCTTCTTGAAACGCTGCCTCCTCTTTGTTCCAATGAAGCATTAGGAGTTTCATCCAATGGCTCCTCCACTGTTTCCCTTTGTTGCATTCAAGCCATTATTCCTTAGACTTACTGGAATCTTTAGTTTTTAGTCCTCCTTATCCCCCTAGGAGTGTCCAATTCAGCTCTAAGCTGAAGCCTTCAAAATCGATTGATTTTTGCGGTACTGGGACTTGAACTCAGACTTTGTGCTCACCAGGTGGGCATTCTACTGGAACCATGCTTCCAGCCTGTCCCAGAATTTCTATTTCTGATTCCCCCACCTCCACACAATCTTCAGACTTAGAACCAATGTCAATGGACATTTCAATTTGTATATCTAATGGACACTTAAAACTTAACATAGTCAAAACTGACCATTCATTCCACCAGCTCTAAAAAGAAATTTAAAAAAACCACCCATCTGTTTTCCAAGTCTATTCCATCTCAGTAAATCACTCAAACCCCCAAACCTAGAAAGTTATCTTTCAGTATTTTTTTTTCTTTCCTTTTTTTTTTTTTTTTTGCTGAGGGCCAAAATGTGACCTCACAGTGTGGAGCAGTCACTCAGCTTCACAACTGGTAATCTATCATTTGAGCCCCACCCCCAGTCTGAATTTTACTATTTATATATTTATTATTTATTTTACCAGTCATGTGGCTTGTCCCTGAGCTCTTTACTTTGAGCCACAGTGCCATTTCCAGCTTTCTGATGGTTAATTGGAGATAAGAGTCTCAGAGACTGGCTTTTAACTACAATCTTCATATCTAGGATATGAAGGATATCTAGGATTACAAGCATAAGCCACTAGCACTTGGCTGGAATTTTACTATTTAATTGGAGATAAGAATCTCTTGGACTATTTTTACTTGGGCCTCATATCTTAGTAGCTAGGACAGGTTTGAGCTACCTATACTGGCAACAGTACTCATTTCAGGGCCTGGTTGCTGTCCCTGATTTTCTCTTACTCAAGGCTAGCACTCTACCACTTGAGCCACAGGGCCACTTTTGGCATTTTTTGAGTGGTTTATTGGTGAGAAGAGCCTCATAGATGTTCCTATCTGGGCTGAACTCAATTCTGAGTCTCCTGAGTAGCTAGGATTACAGGTATGAACCACTAGTGCCCAGCTTTCAATGGTACTTTTTCTTAAACCCTCTTTCCACCCCAAGAACAAACCCTACTAGTCATGACCCGAAGTACATCCTCAAATTAGACCATTTCTACTACCCTTATTCTTTTTTTTTTTTTTTTGCCAGTCATGGTACCTGAACCCTGGGCCTGGGCGCTGTCCCTCAGCTCTTCAGCTCAAGGCTAGTGCTCTACCCCTTGAGCCACAGCACCACTTCCAGCTTTTTCTGCTTATGTGGTGCTGAGGAATCGAACCCAGTGCCTCATGCATGCAAGGCAAGCGCTCTACCACTGAGCCACCTTCCCAGCCCTCTACTACCCTTATTCTATCATTTCCTCCTCCTCTTCCTCCTCTTCCTCCTCCGCCTCCTCCTCCTTTTCTTCCTCCTTCCTCTTCATTATTGTATAGTTGTATAAAGAGCTTACAATTCCATATGTCAAGTTTCCACTATCATTTCTTTTTTTTTTGTTTTTTTTTTGGGTCCGGTCGTGGGGCCTGAACTCTAGGCCTGGGTGCTGTCCCTCAGTTCTTCAGCTCAAGGCTAGTGCTCTACCACTTGAGCCACAGTACCACTTCTGGCTTTTTTCTTTTTGCTTATGTGGTGCTGAGGAATCGAACCCAGGGTCTCAGGCATGCAAGGCAAGCGCTCTACTACTGAGCCACCTTCCCAGCCCTCCACTATCATTTCTTGACTAAAGTACTTCAGTTGGTTCCTAACATTACTTCTTCTCTTTAGTAGGTTCCTATCTCTCTCCTACAATCCAAAATTTTTTTTAAGATAATGCACTGTTTCAATATATAGCCTGAGATAGCTTCAAACTGAGATAGCTTCCTGGCTAATTCTCCTGAATGTTGGAATTACAGGTGTGCACTATCATTCTCCACCAGAATATATAAACACCATGACAGAAGTGTATATATAGCACACAGACTTTGTATCCCTTCCAATGGGGCCTCAGTCTGCAGTAAAGTTATACATCCCAGCTCTGATGTCCTAATAAAACTATATCTAGATTTTTCATCTCGCCCACTTAACAAAGGAAAACTCAAACTAATGAATTTGCCAATTGGGAGACACAGAAAAAGAAAGACACAAACTGAAAGGCTATTAAAGGATTCTAGGACATCCTTCAATTCGTAGCCTAATTTAAAACTTAAAGCCTGAGATGGTGGCTCACACTTATAATAAAAGCTGCTTCTGAGGCAGAGATCATATACTCATAGTTTGAAGCCGGTCCTCCCCAAAGCAAACATGTTCCCAAATGCCCACACCTCTTCTTACCAGTGTGTTGCATTCTGGAAGAGACCCTCCCAGAGGCTTCAGGGAACATAGAGGGGCAAAACCTTCACACATCCCTTCCTCCCTTTCCCTCCCTCCCCCTGGCTGTCTCTCTCTTCCCCCTTCCTCTCTCTCCCTACCCCCCTCTCATTGTGATAATTCCACATGTGCATATAGTGTACCCCTATCAAATTTACCAACCTTTTTTTCTTCATAAGTTGGTTATCTCAGGTTTATTACAGGGATGGAACACAATCATTAAATGTTGACAGTGATTGGTTACACAGCAACGGATAAATATGCACACAAAAATTTCATTTGGGATTCTCAATTTTTTTAAATTTTTAAATGAAAAAGGGCCTGAAACCAAAACTTTCCCATTTGCTACCCTAGCCCACCAGGACTCCAACAAAACTCAGATCAAAAGCTCGGCGCTCCGGCGCGGGGGCGTGGCCGCCCTCTCCAGGCCTGCGCAGTGGGCCTGCGCAGCACGGCCCGTCAGGCACTGCGGTAGGCGCCCCGGGCGCTGGCAGGACCCTGGCCCCAAGATGGCAGCGCCCAGCGAAGCGGCCGTGGCAGCCTTCGGAGAAGGCGATAGAGGGGGCGGGGGTTTTAGATCGTGGCTGGACGGACGTTTGGAGGCGCTGGGAGTGGACCAAGCAGTTTACGGCGCCTACATCCTTGGTGTCCTGAAAGAAGAAGAGGAGGAAGAGAAACTGGATGCTCTGCAGGGCATCCTCTCTGCGTTTCTGGTAAGTAGCCCGCACACATTCCTCCAGCCTTCGACGGCGTCTGAGAACCTCCGGCAGCGTTAGCGTCTCCCTTTCCGTGCCTGGAGTCCCGGAGCCTTAGTGGGCGTGCTTGGGAGGAGTGTACCCTTTCTCCGACCTCCCCCCGCCGCCGCCCCCAGCCGGGTTTCTTGCAGCTTGATGGTGGCAGGTGTCTTGGGAGGAATGGCTTTCCCCTATTCCGGGGAGCCAGGCCTTTGCGGATGCCTGGGGGTGGTGCACTCTCCATGAGTTTTATCATAAACGTCTGACACCTCATTCTAATCCCATCCGCTCACTACGTGCGCACGCAGGAATAACATGCTCTTGGGATGTCCGCCCCGGTCAGAGGCAGTGACCCGGTCTGTCCTATGAGAAAATCCCGATGGAAGTTCCTTCTTGGTTCCTATTTCGGAAGTAAGGAGAGGGATGAGGGGTGGAGGCGTCCCCACATGCTAAGCTGATGGTAAAGGTCTTTTTACGGTGGGCGCAACTGTACCAAATGTGCTTGATTTTTTTTTTTACAGTAATTGGGAATTTAATATTGGGCTGATGATGGCAGAGGAACTGTCTAGCAAACACGAGCCTGTTTAGCAAGAATGAGGCCCTGAATTCAAACCTTACTGTTGAAAAAAAAAAAAGGAAAAAGAAATTTTGTAATCATTAGTATGAGAGGGTGATGATGGGAGACAGGAAGACAAATCCGGTTTTTATTCTTTTAGAAGCAGAATCTTTAACTCAGAAATGTGTATTACAAATTGTATTTTTGTAGTTAGTGGCCAAGCTGCTCACTTTTCCAATGCACCTGTAACACACACACAATTAGATTGGTTACTGGGGTGCTGTAAGGTAACTCTGCCAGTGAGAAACAGAAGCCACATTTTGAGAGGTCAAATTGGGAGTCTTTATTATTGGAGAGCCAGCATCTACGTCTGCAGGTGGATTCCTGTCTCAAAGACTGCAGTCCAGTACAGAGGTAGCACAGAGCTTTTTTTCTTTTTTCTTTTTTTTCTTTTTGGGTCCAGTTGTGGACCTGAAGTCTGGGCCTGGGCGCTGACCCTCAGCTCTTCAGCTCAAGGCTAGCACTCTACCACTTGAGCCACAGCGCCACTTCCAGCTTTGTTTCTGCTTATGTGGTGCTGAGGAATCGAATCCAGGGCCTCATGCATAGAAGGCAAGCGCTTTACCACTGAGCCACCTTCCCAGCCCAGCAGAGCTTTTTAAAGACAAAAACCACATGTTTGGGTGGAGCACCCAAACCCAG